CCCCGCTCAGCCTAGGCTGTGTTGGGGAGCGCAGCTCGCGCTTGTAATCTCGGATGTTAGCCTACTCCTCTTATTCTCAAAGCCGGTTCGCCGGATCTTTCAAAAAAAAATTAGGTGATGCAAAGCTTAGATGCTCAAGCAAGGGCATACCTTTGAACCAATATGTTGCAAAAAATAACTTGATGCGACACATTCTATGATTCTTGTTTGATTCCTCATGGTCTTTTCTCTATAAAGCATTCACTAACGGAGACCGGCTCTTTGCCGAGTGCCAGGTGGTTTGCCGAGTGTTGTTTTTCGGGCGCTCGGCAAAGACGCCTTTGTCGAGTGTTTTTTTTGACACTCGGCAAAGAGCTTCTTTGCCGAGTGTTTTTTTTTTGACACTCGGCAAAGAAAATTTCAAAGCATATTTTGAAGCAGTAAATTAATTCAAATGAAAAAGTTTTCAACTACAAAGTTGTATAACTCATCAAGATGTACAATGTTTGTTTTGGTCTTTTCTTCATATGACAAAGTGAAAGTAAATTTATTCACAAATCTAACATATCTCTCTTATAGTTTATGAAACTACAAGAGAGATATATAAGATTTGTGAACAATGTTAGAACGACCATGTCGGATGAACAGATGACCAAACAACCAAAATAAACTCTGTAGATCTCAAAAAGTTATGAAACTTTGTAGTTGGCAACTTTTTTATTTGAAAACATCTTGTCATGCAAAACTGCGTTTGAATTTTAAAATTTTAAAATTCAAATTTTGTAAACGACCTTAGATGGGAAAACTTCCTAAACTAAAAGTGTAGATCTCGAAAAGTTATGAAACTTTGTAGTTTACAATTTTTTTATTTGAATTCGTTTAGGGCCTCAAACATGCAATTTACACTTGGCAAAAAAGCTTCTTTGTCGAGTGTTTTTTTTAACACTCGGCAAAGAGCTTCTTTGCCGAGTGTTTTTTTTTTACACTCGGCAAAGAAAATTTCAAAGCACATTTTGAAATAGTAAATTAATTCAAATGAAAAAGTTTTCAACTACAAAGTTGTATAACTCATCAAGATGTACAATGTTTGTTTTGGTATTTTCTTCATACGATAAAGTGAAAATAAATTTGTTCACAAATCTAACATATCTCTCTTGTAGTTTATGAAACTATAAGAGAGATATATAAGATTTGTGAACAATGTTAGAACGACCATGTCGGATGAATAGTTGACCAAACAACCAAAATAAACTTTGTAGATCTCGAAAAGTTATGAAACTTTGTAATTGGCAACTTTTTGATTTGAAATCATCTTGTCATGCAAAATTGTGTTTGAATTTCAAAATTTTAAAATTCGAACTTTTCAAACGACCTCGGATGAAAAAACAACTAAAATAAACTCTGTAGATATCGAAAAGTTATGAAACATTGTAGTTGGCAACTTTTTGATTTGAAAACATCTTGTCATGCAAAACTGCGTTTGAATTTCAAAATTTTAAAATTCGAACTTTTCAAACGACCTCGGATGAAAAAACAACCAAAATAAACTATGTAGATCTCGAAAAGTTATGAAACATTGTAGTTGACAACTTTTTGATTTGAAAACATCTTGTTATGCAAAACTGTGTTTGAATTTCAAAATTTTAAAATTCAAATTTTGTAAACGACCTCGGATGGAAAAACTTCCTAAACTAAAAGTGTAGATCTCGAAAAGTTATGAAACTTTGTAGTTTACAACTTTTTTATTTGAATTCGTTTAGGGCCTCAAACATGCAATTTACACTCGGTTTAGTATAATATATTGGGAACTAAAACGGAATCCAGACACAAGTGGGAGTGTTGTGTAGTGGTAGAGAAGGTACGTGCACAGCGGGAGGTCTCGGGTTCGAATTGCGTCGGCCGCGTAGCCATGAAATTCACGCGAAAAATGTCGGAGATGGGTGGGCGCTGGCCGATGGGGGCCTCCATCGATAAAAAAAATTCCATTTTTTTGGGTAAAAATTCCCATTTTTTTTGGTTTTTTTCGGTGTCAGCTTTGCCGAGTGTAGAGTGCCCGACAAAAGACACTCGGCAAAGATGTCTTTGCCGACGGGTTTTTTGCCGAGTGTTCTTTGTCGAGTACAGCACTCGGCAAAGCCTTTGCCGAATGTAAATTGGGCTTTGCCGAGTGCCAGGGGCACTCGGCAAAGCCACTTATTCCTGTAGTGATTAGCTTAGATCTCATATTATTTCTAGCATTCTTTACTGCTTACTTTTCACAGGTATTTGCTTGCGTTAATTTTATTCAAACATGGTTGTCCTCATGACCTGACGGCTGACCTCATGCTTGCTATTATTTTTACGAACCGAATTTCATTACTCTTTGAGCAACGAAATTACATTACATAAGTTCAACAACAAAACTAATGGACACAGTAATTACTTTCCAGCTTCATCTACTAATGAGTAATGACACAGTTACTTGTTTAATACTATTTGTTGTGTACTTGTGTGTCACATGGTCGTCCTACCTGACATGGTTGGTCTCTGTGTCTTCAGCCATCCGAGCAACAACCAAAGGAGAGGAAACGGTTGGAAATCACAAATCTGGTATGCTTGTTGTGTACTATTTGTTGTGTACTATTATTCTGTTATGCTGATATTGTCACCTACTCCAGGAAGTTATGAGCAAGCTTGTAATTTTCTTTGAATGTAATGGCAGAAGCTCTGCTTTTTATCAGAAAGAATAGAATTGACCTAGTTTATAAGGGAAAACAGGCCTAAAAACCTTTGTATAGGCACAAATTAAAACATAGAAAAAAAACCCACAACAGCAAAGCAAGCTTGTAATAATTTAAGAAATAAATTAAAGGGTACAAAAGAGATCACATACAGCTGAATTGTTCGTGTTGCAGTGCTACACATAGCTTAGCACCTTTATATCGATGTAATCAACCTTGATAAATAATCTCAAATGAAAAAAATACTTATTCATACACCGATTTTTGCAATCTACCACACTCCATCAACGATCCATTTCCAAACAATATTGTCTTCTTCGGTAAAAGAGTTGCCTCTGGGATGATATATGGCGTTTATCAGCATTAAACCAAATTTGTGTGAAGCTCTTCGGTGTGTAAATAAAATTGTTTCATGACTCTCTCTTTATTAAGTACACTGATAGCTGGGCAAACGGTTGTGTCCAAGTCTTTATAAAAATAAGAAAAATTGTAGCGATAGATTGCGATACGAAATCCTGAAAAAACATCTTTAGAAGCACCAGGAAAACAACATTTATCTAAAAAGGAGAAAACAATATAAAAATCTAGAAAATTTCCTAAACATTCTAACTGATGTCCAAATATGTTTTTACAGATTTTCATGGAAAATTACGATATGCAACCAACATGAATGCAACATACAGTAATGTCAAATGCATTAATGCCATGCATTTGTGCTAGTTGCGTCTTAAATATAATATTTTGGACATTTTATGGAATATATTCTGGATATTTTTTGTTTTTTTTAAGTTGTAAGTCTAAATTTTAGAAGCTTTGAAATATATTTTCACAAGCTTTAAATATTTTATAGATTTATCGTGTCCTTATATATCTCTAGGACCTTTTTTTGGGGATTTATGAGGTATTTTATGTTGTTTATTAATAATCTTATCAAGTATGTACTAGATTTTTTAAGTAAAAAAAGATAAACCAAGTTTATAAACACTTCAAAACAGGACATAGAAGTAATTTGATCGGTATTGAGATTTCAGCGGCAAGATTTCTGATACTCTGGTTTTAGAGTTCAAAATTCAAGGAGGAAAATGACAATAATTTAGGGAGCTAAATAAACCTTTTCTTTTCCTTTTCGGAACTCAGGCAAAGCAAACGGACCCTTATCCAATCCGACCCAACATGTTCGAGGGGAAAGGCCCAACGATATATTGTCATGAGGCCTCTTTGGTTCACAGCGAAACCCACGACTCTTCCGTTCCCCTCTTCCTCCTCTCTTTTTTCGCCCTTGCGATGACGACGACGACGAGGAGGAGGAGGCGGCGCCGCGCTCGTTCGGCTTCGGCGGGCCAGCGCCTCCGGCGCCTCATTTGTGTGAAGCTCTTCGGTTTGTACATAAAGTTGTTTCATGACTCTCTCTTTATTAAGTACCTTGATAGCTGGGCAAACGGTTGTGTCCAAGTCTTTATAAAAATAAGAAAAATTGTAGCGATAGATTGGGATACGAAATCCAATTAAATTATTTGGAGCTTCTGAAAAAACACCTTTAGAAGCACCAGGAAAACTACATTTATCTAAAAAGGATTAAACAATATAAAAAACTAGAAAATTCCCTAAACATTCTAAACGATGTCCAAATATGATTTTAAAGATTATCATGGAAAAATTACGATATGCAACCAACATGAATGCAACATGCATTAATGTCAAATGCATTAATGCCATGCATTCGTGCTAGTTGCATCTTAAGTATAATATTTAGGACATTTTATTAAGTATTATGGATATTCTCTGATTTTTTCTAGAGTTGTAAGTCTAAATTTTAGAAGCTTCTAAATATATTTTCACAAGCTTTGAATATTTTTTAGATTTATCGTATCCTTATATATCTCTAGGACTTTTTTGGGGAATTTATAGAAGCAATAGAGGCATTTAATGTTGTTTATTAATAATCTTATCAAGTATGTACTAGATTTTTTAAGTAAAGAAAAAGATAAAACCACCTTTAAACACTTCAAAATAGGATAGAGAAGTAATTCGATTGGTATTGAGATTTGAGAGGGCAAGATGTCTGATACTCTGATTTTAGAGTTCAAAATTCGAGGAAAATGACGATAATTTAGGGAGCTAAATGGACCTTTTCTTTTCCTTTTCGGAACTCAGGCAAAGCAAACGGGCCCTTCTCCAATCCGACCCAACATGTTCGAGGGGAAAGGCCCAACGATGATATATTGTCATGAGGCCTCTTATTTGGTTCCCGAAACCCACGACTCTTCCGTTCCCCTCTTCTCCTCTTTTTTTTCCCCCGTGATGACGACGACGACGACGACGAGGAGGCGGCGCGGCGCTCGTTCGGCCTCGGCGGGGCAGCGCCTCCGCCGCCTCATCTCCTTCCTCAGCCGGCACCGCCTGTACCGCACCGCCCACACGTACGTACGCCGCCGCATTCACCTCTTCAGTTTCTCTGCTCCCCCCACCTCTTTCTGACGGACCAGTTGTTGATGCAATTTGTTGAACACCATATCGCAATCGGGCAATCGCAGCGTGGAGCGAAGACGTGCGTCTTCTTCGACGCGGCGCACCTCCGGCGGATGATGCTCCGCGACCGCTGGGCCGCCGCCTCGTCCTACGCCCTCAGCTTCGTCAATTATCGAGACTGCAGCCGCGAGGCCGACGAGCTCAACCACCGCATCCTGGCTCTCCGCGTCCTCACCGCCTTTGCAGCTGGCCAGGCCCGCTCCGTTGAGACTCTCTTCCGGCGCATGTACGCTTACCTCCGGTTCAAACCAGACCGGGACCGCATCGCAATACGGAGGCTCCTGCTCGCCATGCGCTCCGACGACACCAAGTGCGCGCCTGTACTGCATTGATTGGCTTCCGAGCACTGCAAATATGCATCAGTTGCTAAAATTGTGTGTGCGTGAGTGTGTCCACTGACCCTGGCCGTGGCGTTGGTTTCTCTTGCAGGTCCTCCAGGCTATATGGGCGCTTCAAGCCCAGGGCAGTGCAGGGCATTATGGACTTGGCTGCCAAGTGCCCAGAGCTCAAAGCCAAGACACGGTTACCCCGCTATATGTCTCTTGGTCATCCTGAGTATGCATCACACATTCTCATAGACTCTTGATATACATATATGTTTCCAAGTCAGCTCGGCTAAGTTCGATCTCATCCAATGCCCACACAAGTAGCTCAATCTAGTCGTCCAATTGAGTCAGAAATATGTATCTTGTTATTGCAGGTCATGGCGGAATACTCCTAAGGATCATCAAAAACATAATACCAATCTTCCGGCACGGACCCTTGCCCGTTCCTTTCTGCCAAAAAGGTATTCTACCTAGTTTGCTTTCTTTGCTTGTTTTCCCTACTGCCACTCACACGCTTCTTGCTTGTTCAGGCCTCCTCAGATTAGTCACAAGAAGGTTAATCACAAGACGAATTGTTCAGGTATGGTGTGCCGTGTGCCCAGTGCATGTGCGGTGTAGGTTTTACATACATTTGGCCTGCAGTGGCAATAACTCTCCTGTGAACATCATGATTCTTGTGCCTTGGTATAATTGTCGTATATTTGATTATGACATGAGTTTTACACCTCTAACAATCATGTGCATCAGTTTCATATTATTTTGGAAATGAAGATACTAGCTTTCTATTTTCTTACCTTAATCAATAAGTCAAGCAATTGATTGCACTTTGTTTTTTGTTTTCTTTACCATCTATCTTGTATGATGAACTTGGCTTCATAGTGCCGTGGATCATGTGTGCCGAGGTGAAATTTAGGTGATGCAAAACTTAGATGCTCAATATGTTGCAAAAAATAACTTGATGCAACACATTCAATGATTCTTGTTTGATTCCTCATGATACTTTAGCATAGATCTCATATTATTTCTATCCTTCTTTACTTGCCTTTCACTGGTATTGCTTTCTTTAAGTTTATTAAACATTGGTTGTCCTCATGAGTCATGACCTCACCTCATGTCTTGCTCTCTTTTTTTGGTCTCGTCTTTTCACTTGTACTTGTGATGCATATGTACAATACAACATAACCTTTTTTGTGCTTGTGAGATACCAAATTTTCTCTTGGCGTCATTGTTATATATGCACACACACACTTGCACAATTCTTGTACTTTATAAGTATCACCTTTCACTTGAAACTCCTATGCCCTGCAGATGCTCCAAGTACTGCAGCCTTTGAGGGTATGCTGTCTACTCCACCAGCACCAGCTAAAATGTTTCCAGTTTCATCCACTAATGACACAGGTATGAGTACTCGTGTTAATGTTTATTGTGTCATGGTCCTACCTGACATCGTGTCTTCACTCTTCAGTTACCCAGGCCGCAACCCAAAGAGAGGAAGCTGAAATCACCAAGGCGCCAGCGGCTGCCTCGAATCTTGTTGTCGGGCTTCGTGTACCACGCCAGCGTCGTCCTAACCCACAATACATTGGCCCAGAGTGGATTGCGTGAGTGCCAGGTGCCTCTGGCGGCAAGCCGGCAACAGCTCTGAGCTCTGTATAAGAGGTGTCTGTGTTTGGCTTGGCGAGGAACTGGACTTACGAACCTAGTGCATGACGGTGGTGGCAGTGGCAGCGAGTTGAACTTGATCTAACGCAATTTGTAAACTATTAGCACTATTGCATAGTCTATTCAGAGAAAAGTGTCCATGTGCATGTCGACCCCTGCAGTCCCCTAAAATAGCCTAATGTTCTACTGATTTTTTTGTGGGATGTCTGTATCTTGACCTTCGATTATAAGTTAATGCTGTCCTATATGGTCTGGTTCTGGATTAAACACTAAGGCTCTGATTATATGTTAATTTTGGAGACAACCATTAACTTTGCTCCTCCAAAATAAACAATTGAAGACTCATCTCCATATACAGTAAGGAACAACTGAAGACTACCCTGATTTATACACCACAATCACAATGTCTGCCTATGGAACAGACGAGAACTGATCCGATCGAGTAATATACCATCGTATACAAAGACAACGAGTAATATACCATCATATACAAAAACAACTGATTAGGCGTACAACACTCACGGTCCCGGTGCGCCATCCTGAAGAGGAGGAGGATGCGCTGCTGTTGCTGGTACCGGTGCGCCATCCTGAAGAGGAGGATGCGCAGCTGTTGCTGCCTCTTTTTTTGCGAGAGAATCACGAATCTTTTTTCGTATGTACTCGGTGGAAGCCAGACACAGCGCCTGCCTTCCTTCCGGATCACATAGCTGGTGATAGTATAGCTTTTTCTCGCTGAATTTCTTCTTCTTGAAGTCGTGGCAGACTAGGCAACGCACCTGGTTACCCTGCCTCTCACCAAATGGACCTACAGGTACCGCTCCATCCTGTATCTCCATATCCCTGCATGCATGTGATAGATATAGCTATAATATAGTTCAACTAAACAGAATTTTATTATCTGTGCTGATCAATTGGGACTACATCTTACCCGAATGCAGGGAAGTAGATCTTTAGGTAGTCGTTAACACACTGGCGAGTTTTGTTCTTGTCACTGAAACGACATTTTCTATATGAAAAGCAAACCATTAGATCACCTGTAAGCTAGCTTGTAAATCAGTTATGCATTCAAAGTGTAAATCAATTATGCATTCAAAGTGTAATTAGTTTCAGTACAGACCTTGGCAGCGCCTCTCTGTGAACCATTGCATGTATTTCAACCAACAATTTGTCCACAAACTCAATGCCGGTGCTAAAACCATCAGGGTAGATCACACAAATATGATTGAGGTAGTATGGATGAGCCCGATTAGCATTACCCATTCCCCTTAAATCAAATAATGCCTGGCCTCGGAGCAGCATTACGAGCTCAGGGTGTGCTCTGGTGATATCTAGAGGGTGTGCATCATTGCTCACGGCAGTTGCAGCAGCTCTTCCTTCTCCCACCATCTGAGTCAATAACTTGGCGAAGGCAGGCTTGTAAGTCATTTGGACCAAGCTGATTCCCACCCTGCTCAACCTGCACTTCATCTCTGCAGCAACCAAACCAGAATCTATCAAGTAACTTTATTCACTGGCCTCTCACGCTGCTTTATTGGAAAAATAAAGTTTAAAACACTCCATCTTAAACAATGAAAAAGAAGAACGCTCACGCTGCAGCAATAGGCCCGGCTCCCAGAAATTCTTGCAAAGAAGGTGGCTCCTCACGTACTGATAACAACCTGTACATGGAGTTTATACTCAATTTCACGGATCATATGTACGCTTGCTTATAACATGCATGTAAGCCTAAATGCAACTTACGCCTCCAAGTTGTCAAGCTCCTCGTTTTCACCATCATAAGCCTCAATGCGTTTTTCAATAGGGAATACTGTCCTACAATAAAAGTAGATGCGTGCATATATTCAGAACGTTTGTGACATAAGATGCAGTTAATTTGCTACATTGAACCTTAAACACAAGATGTGGAATTTACTTTTTCCATGGCAGTATAAACTTGTTTAAAAAATGAAGTCTCATACTCCACCGGCCTCAAAACCAAATAACTGAACTCCATAATTATTCCCGCAGCAAAGAATTCCTTCTTCCAGTTCCATAAAAAGCATAGTTTCAAATATTTCCGATTCTATGCATATTCTTCCAGTTCCATAAAATCCATGGTTTCAAAGAATTCCGATTACTCTTGGACGACATCCATACCCTATCTCACCGGTCCCATAACCCTAGCACATTCAGCCAGCATACTATATATCCAATAATCCAATAATAAATCCAAATTCCTCCAACAAGAGCACGTATCCATGACAGCTGATCGATTAAATAAAACTTGTTTCAAATGAATTCCATAACCCTAGCACATTCAGCCAGCATACTATATATCCAATAATCCAATAATAAATCCAAATTCCTCCAACAAGAGCACGTATCCATGACAGCCGATCAATTCGTCCTTGATGTCAATTTCAACGAACCCTTGATTTCAATTTCAACGAACCCAATTCAATCTCACGCCAAACAAACACGAATCGAGCGATTAGTAGGGAGAAAGGTAGAAGCAAACTCTGTGTTTGCCGCCTGATGGTCGTCTCCGCCTCCACCTCCACCCCCAACTCCGCGTCCGACTCCTCCGCCCGCAGCTCCAACTCCGCTTCCGCTGCGCCTCATGGAAGGAAAGGCATCCATACCTCAATCCATGAACAAAGATTGATGACCAGCACAAAAATTTTGGTAGAGGAGAAATAGAAATTCGTACAGCGCGTCGCTTGTCGTCCCCTGAGCGGGATCGCGACGAAGGGAAGCACCTCCACCTCCGCCTCTCCCTCGGTCTCCACCCCCGCCTCCGTCACCGCCCCCGCTCCTTCTGATGGTCGCGCCTATCCTCGTCTGAGCGGCCTCGCGATTGCCGGAATCGTCTCCGCCTCCGCCTCCGCCTCCGCCTCCCCCTCCGTCTCCACCCCCGCCCCCGCTCGTGCTGATTGAAGACATCGGGCGTGCGCCGACTACGCTCACAGCGAAGGAGAGATGGAGGGATGCGGAGGGCGGGAGGGGAATCCTTTCTCCGATTCGCTTATTGCGGTTTGGGAGCGGAGAACGAATCGAGAGGGAGCAGAGTTTGTTTGCCCAAACGGTCTGATAGCAGAGGAACCTGACGAACCGACTCACGGCCCGGCCCATTTCCTGATCCCTATAGCCCCCTGGGCGCGGAGGCCTGCTCCGTGTGCTTTGACTACGGATAGGTTCTTCCAAATTTCCAATCAATCACACAAAGCCACAAAATAGCAGAAGAAAAAGAGATGAGCAAACCAAAGTGCTACACGAAAAATTATAAGTGCGATCTTTTTTTTTACATTAAATTGTAAATTTGGTCCATAATACTAAATAATTCATTGACATTTTGATTAGAGTCTACAGTCTAGTCAAAGTTTAGCAACTTTTACTAGATATTACATTTATTTCAAAGAATAAAATTATCATTGCAAATTTAACTTGAAAAAAAACTTTATAATCCCATGCATTTGTTGTATGTAATAATTCTACCTCAATAGAAAAGGCGGTCGTATTTAGTATTGAGAAGACAATTTTTTTTATTTAACTTTCACTAGTACATTATTGGCTCGTTTATTGAAAGTTCACTCAACAATAGGATATGGTCAATAAAATTTTGGCAGCAGTTCAAATAAGAAGAAGATTAGCCTTATACCCTATACAATAATTCATAATTGTATGTAACGGTGAGTTATTTTTAGTTTTTTTAATCACAATATGCTTACACACTTCGTCCTATATAATGCATACCCACACCTTATATGAACATATCCGAAAGATTTAGCTAGTAAATATCGAGATTTACAAAGTCAACAAAGATGTGTTGCTGTCAATGTATTGTCTACCACTAAAAGAACAGCCATATTAAATTTTAAAAGACCATTTTTAAAATGAATTCAGAAAAATACCAATACAAGTGTCAACCCGTGGACTTAAACTTAATAAATGAATATATGTTTCATAACAAATGGAAACGAGCAAGCTGTTTGTTTGTCCAGCAACACGAGGCGCGTGCTCGGCCACCCGGTTTCAAAGCCCGGTGCCCACGTATTTCCACTCAAGGAGTGGGAATGGGGAGAAAAACTACTCTTTCGAAAAAAAAAATGTTTCGTAACAAAAAATCTAACTAGCTAAGCAATGCTTCTCTTTACAATACAAAAGAGTTTCTTGAAAACAATTTAACCAGCACTGGGGAGTAACCGATGCATGTTTGGATACCTTTTTCATTACAAGAATACTCTGGCACACATCATATTAGTGTCAGCTCGTATGAGCATAGCTTTTACAATGATTTGTGTGAACAAAATACAAGTTGTTTAGGATTTACTCGCCAATCAAATTTTAACTTTCATCGTCAATCCAATCAACTTTTTAACTTCCACCACCAATTCATATACAAGTTACGTAGTAAGCAGTGGCGGAGCCAAGGGGGGCTGGCAGGGCCATGCCCCTAATATTTCACAAAAAAAAATAGTAGTATGACTTAATATTTTTTATTTATATTAAGAAGGAGATTATATAAAATTCTTATCATATATACATATTAATATCTTCTAGATAATATAATCATACAAAACACAACTAGATAATAAAATTATCGCAATGAAAAAGACTGAGTCGGTATTCAAGATTTACAAAGTCACCCTAGACGTCTTGCTGTTAACGGGCATGTCACTTACCACTGAAAAATAGCGCTTTAGATCCTAGGATACATATAAGAAATTACGAGCACCCGTTCAAGTCAATGAATTAATTCCGACAGTCATCACAAGGAACCTAACGAGTTGAATTGCACTTAGTTTTTACATGTTGGCTATTTTGGCCGGCAGTGGCAGGCCCAAAGGGTACTCCAAGTAGGCCTAGGACTACCCTGGAATCTAACCCAAAGTTTATTTAGTACTCAGCATTTTCAATCTTTTAGCCTATAGAAAGTCTGGCTCAATAAAAACTGAAAGAAGCCC